CGCTGCATTAGTTCCTGCCAGCTCTGATAATTTGTAATTGTCTTTGCATTATCACTGCTGACATTTGAATTTGTCATGACAATAGAGTTACTGAGCCAGCTTAAATTAAAATTAAATTATATAGCCTTTGACCACTAGTTCACGTTTTTTGTTTGAATTTGATTGTTCTTCTTTAATTACATCACCACAAACTGCAATTGAATTGATTAGCATAAGAACATGCCTTTAAGTTCTTTTTAAATAAGAGGCTTATTTAAACCTTTGTCTGACTTCGTAGTTACTTTGAGACATAGCGATAACTTGCTTCACGTCTGTTGGGAGTTTATGGACTATTTAACTTCTACCAGATCAATTAAACCCTCATAGGTACATCGTGGAGAGGTTGACAAGTTAGGAGATAAAGCATGCAGAACTAGTCAGAACATTGGTTTTTGTATTCAAACAAATTTTTAATTGTTAGGAAAGATGTTTAAAAAGAAGAAAATTGATATAAATTAAGCCAAAATGTCTGGGAAGGCTTCAAATTAAAAAGATGCATAAATATTTTGTTAAGTGTTGTTGCTACAAAACATAAATATTTTGTATCTTTAATGTATAATTATCCTAATATCGTTTAAGAACCAATGACATAAATTGCATGTATTTTAAAGTGTGAAATTTTATTATCTTGTGATTTTAATAGGACTTTTAACAATATTGTTAAAAAATAAGTAAAATTTAATAGTAATCATGTAAATCCATAATGACTAAGGTTATCTAACTACCTAATTTAATTTATAACTAACTGCTTACCCTTAAAATTATCTCCGCCTAATAAAGTGAGTTTCATTATTCTTTAGCGTGGTGCAAGGTAAAACACAAAAATGTAAAAATCATGTAAAATTTATTCTTAGTATCTAATGAGACCTAAATGAGACCTAAAATAATACAAAGCAACTTAGTGTCACCTCTGGTGCTTTAGTGGCTTATTGGAACCTTAAAGTATGTTAACTTGGTTACAACCCCTGGAACTCTACACGGAGCTACGACACTAACCGCAACAGACAGAGCCCAACTAACTTTCAAAACTAGCTAACCGTGCCTACATCAGGCCTCTCAGTTTTGTTCTGATCAGCAGGTTTCTCTCTAGGTAAGGAGCAGCGGTGACAACAGCTAGTCTTTTGTTATAAATCATTCTGATTATGATTTTACTTCTCATTTTAAACTATGATGCTTGACATAAAATGCACCTGCTATTTACTAAACCTCTAGATTGAGCAAGTAATGAGACATTAAAAAAAAAAAAAAAAAATCAACATGAAACTAACTATTAGTAAAACGTAAATAAAATGTCACTTATCTTCTTTCAAATATACCGAACTATTGTAAGTGTAAAATATTTAATGCTAGACTAGAAGAGAAACACGCTAATGTGACAATCAAATCGTATTAAAATTAACCTGTGTAATTAAGTTATGCGTAGGTATAATGAAACACTCAATCGATTTCGAGGGCAGCTAAAGGTCCCTCCTCATCAGGAGAAAGAAATACCTAGAAAGAAGAAAATAAAGGAGAAGGAGTCACAGAAACCGTGATAAGGACCACGTGTTTCTGTGACTCCTTCTCCTTTATTTTCTTCTTTCTAGGTATTTCTTTCTCCTGATGGAGACCTTTAGCTGCCCTCGAAATCGATTGAGTGTTTCATTATACCTACGCTAAATACAAGGTTGTTTTTACGATTTTGATTATTTAATGCTGTTTGATAAATTTCATAAAGTATATTTTATGCTCAAACTAATTAATAATTAAGTTAATTAAGTTATGTTTAATAATAATGCTTCCTACTTACGGATCTATTTTGTTTTTTGGGTGGTATTACAAAAGTGAAGTTGAGGCACATATAATATTTTAATCGAATTTATTAATTTGCTATTTGCTCATAGCTGCTTAATTTTTTTCAGTAATGGTCCTTAAAAGTCCTTAAAAGTGCTTAATTTCCATGTGCAGAAATGTGTACGAACCCTCAGTATGATGTACATTCACATTTCAACTCCGAAAATACACACCCATTATCAAATCACAACCCATTATTTCTCTAATATGTATTCTACTGTGCAATAGTAATTTACACTCTGCCAATGATTGATAGCATTGCTTACTAATTTAGCATGAAGTATGATTAAGTTGCTGTTCAGCCCCACCAGTGCCTGCGTGATTAAGAGTGGTGAATACTGGGAGTTTAACCATAGATGTATGGACTACAGGGATAGTTTTTCCCTCTGTGCAATGTAAATGCAAGACAGTTTCCCTTAGAGTATCCCCATGGGGACATCTCTATTCCCAGGCTGATAATTTTAATGAACTTTGCCATATTTAAAATAACCTAACCTGTGTTGCTCCTTGATGATATCATTTAAAACTACTCTTGTCTACTTCTTGTTATCACACAACAATTTATTACATGTTTATTTACTGTCCGTCTTATCAATCATGTAAAATCACATTTTGACAAATTGTGGGGGGTCACACAAGTGTGCATATTGTTAATAAATAAATAAATTAATGTTAGCCTAATATTTATAAATATGCTGTTACTACTGACAATTCCAAAGCTGCCAACTTTCCCAGTAAAATCAGACTTCCAGTTCTTCATACCATCTCTTTGTTTTTAATAATTTTTAGCCTTTGTTAAGTAAAATGTTTCCCAGAAATAAATAAAATGTATTGAATTAATGAAATGTAAACTGTGCAGATTCCTTTCTCCATCCCTAATGATTTTCAGCATACTTTTTTCTTCTTTTTTTCCCCTTAAATCTAAATTGTCTTAATGTGTTGTTGTGACTAGTATCACTTGTCTGAGCTCATCAGAACAAGCCCACAAATTTTATCATAATAAGGAATGCTAAGATTGCATCTGTCTTTGGCATGAGCCTAAAGTATCATACAGGTTTGACTTTGCTAAGATCTTGCCCAATTTTGAAGAGCATTCCAGGGGATTGGTCCAACAGTCTCTCATCCCTCACCTACAGTGAACCATTCAAAAGGAATTTTGGCTATAAGGAATTTTGGAATATATACATCCTGAATGCCCACATGTGCCACCATTACCATTAAAAGCAAATTTGAATAATGCACCAGAAAATCTATATATTCAACTAATTAATTAACATGGAAATATTATTTTTATTCAAAGACTTGAAGATATAAATATAATTAACTTTCATTCATACTTGCAAAAAAGATAGGTATGCTTAGTTATGAATTGTGCTAAGAACTACTGCTTGATTTGGGAATACATTTACGTGTGAATAGCTTTTCTTCATAATTGAAAATTAATAAGGAAAGAACGTGACTGACTGATTCTGCTGTCTGTACACAAACATTATACAAAAAGGTTTTGTATGTATGTATAAAATCGAAAATTATTTTATTCTAGAGTTACTGAAAAGTTTTTATAAGTTTTCATAATTTGTTTATTTTTAGGCTAAATTAAATAAGTTTATTAAATAATTAAACGTATTAAAATTATATAAAATAAAGGCCAATCTGAAATATTAATATTTAGCTATCAGTATGTTTGAACTACAAACTGTAACTAGCAGAAGTATATTAGGGTATCAAACTTAAGATTTCAGATAGAAAATAAATATAAATTTCAATTTATTCCCTTTGCTTCATTATTGTTATTGTTTATGTATACTTTAAGAAGTATTTATAAAGCAAAATTTTAAATTTAGTTTAAATATCATTTTATTTTATTGATAAGAAATTTTTAATTTTGCTAAAATACAAATTTCTAGACCATCGTCTCTTTTCAAATCACGCATATAGCCTGCGTGCAATTTAAGTTTGAGAACACTGATCTATGGTTTCTAGCCAATTCCTATGCTCAAGTGATGCTTAAAAATAATTTCCTTTGTACCGGCATAAACTATGTAACAGTTTACTAGGCATAACTTTATCATCTTCAGGTATCTTTTATTTGTACACCCACTACCATAAACACGTAAATTTCACAATTACAGAAACTTTAATTTGTGAAACAGCTTTTACTTAAATTCTAATTAAACTACAGTAAAGTTCTGACGTACTATAAAAAGTTAATTCATCTATTAAGTGACTTTTTTCAAAGAACCCTGTGAACTTTACAGAGTATATTTAAGTGTGCATTGTATTTCTTTCTTTTGTACAATTTTTATAAGCTACCCTCTGCATATTAATGGATCTGCCTTCTGCCTTTATTTCCCAATGAAATAATTTTGCTCTTATAAAATGGTAAAAATGTGCAGAGATTTCAAATTGTGGTAACTTGATTTCTTTTTTATTGCATCAAGTTTGTAACAAAAATGTTTTTTTTTTTTAAGCCCAAAGGGGCAATTTTGCCCAAAAGGGCTATTAATTTAATTTTGGCATTTTGCATTGAAAACTTAAATGCGTTGAATCACTTATCAAATTGTTGCCACCAAATATTATCATACCGTATTATATTTAAAGAAATTAAATAATGAAGAATTGCATAAATGTAAGTATGTTTCTCACATTGTGATAAAACAGCAGTACCTACAGCCATCAAATTTTGCATAATGTACAACTATCTCCACATGAATATGGGCATCTGGAAGCCCAAATTTGGAATTTGTTTTATTACCTATTTCATATTTTGTAAAACTTTAATTAATTTTTTATTAACAAACTCAACAATTTCATAGCAAACAATGGCAACACTGTACGGGGGGGGATTATCTCCAGTGCATGAGACTGTATATCAGAAATTCTAAAGATATGCTCTTTTAAAATTATTTTGTGATATTGCTGTTGAACTGAATTTTATGATTTAAGTGCAATGAACATGATATTTAATAAATAAAGGTAATGCACAAAAGGTTGAAAAAACTCCCCTTTGGGCATATTATAAAATCTGAAAACTTTCAGATTATATTTTATTTATTTATTTAGTGTGTGTATGTGTGTTCAGATGGGTTGTTTTTAATAACCAAAGTTTATGAACTACTTTTGAACAGATGACTCCTGGTGAACTGAAATTTGCACTGGAGGTAGAGACTGTGCTGAACAGCATTCCTCAGCCAGAATATAGACAGTTAATGGTAGAAGCTCTTATGGTGCTCACATTACTTGTCGAATATGATGCAGTGAAAACATTAGGTGGCATCATCAATGTGGAACACTTGGTACACAAGGCAAGTCGTATTTTCTTGGAAGATCAGGTACCACAAACTGTTCTTATTAGTTATATGTTACTAAAAAAAGTTCTTATGGTTTTTATTTTGCAAAATACAGATAATATTTTGTCCTAGTGATAAGTGTAAATGAAATAGAGAATGTAATAAAGTGTGTTTCATGTTTGTGTGGAGACGAGGAAATTTACATGAAGTTCTGAATCGTGTACATTTTATTAAAAAAAAACAAAAAATTCCATATATATATATATATTTTAAGAGGTTTAAAAGATATGGTTTGGTTTTAAAATATTTCTTTTGTGTAAAAAAAAAAAAAAAAAAAAATCATTAGAAAAACCATTTGATATTTATTCAAAATGTATTCGTTTATCTCAAATTTAAAAAAATGCATTCTGAGCAGGATTATTTTCACAGTTAAAAAAAAAAACATTTTGAAGACATGAAACTATTTTTTTAATTAATTATTGTTTGTTTTAATTAACACCTGTAATTTGATCTACAGTGAAAATAAAATACACTGGTATTTAATGTTAAGAGAATTTTTAATTTAGGCATACAATGCAATAAAAAAATTTTATGGTACACTTCCATGATCATGCGTAATATTCATTAGCACAGAAAGGTCTAAAGAGAGGTTGCAAATTCGTACAAAAAATATATTAATATGGTATATGGTCCTCTCTAGCAGTTGTAATATAATATAGCCCTAACATGAATTTTGTACTGGAAATGAGGCAGTCTACAATTCCTTGTGGTTATCGGTTCCATTTCTACAACAGTACTATTTCCAGGTCCTGATAGAGGAAAGACAAGTTGCAGTTGCCGTTCCAAGAGCATCCTTGTCATATTTTATTGGATTTAATCTGTTGACCAATCTGTCCACTCAATATCCTAATTTTCCAGAAAATTATACAGTAGATTAGCAATAAATAGACAAGTATTATCATCCATAAAATTGAACTAAAGTCAACTGTAGCCTTGAAAAGATGAATATGGGGCTCTTAATGCTTTGCATGTTTCTTAATGCTTTGCAGCAGTTACTGAGCCTTTGTTAAAAACATGTAGGTATGTGTGTGTGTTCAACATACTGCATGTTCAGACCATTAAACTGTTGCTCCCATACAGGACACTTTCTTAGATACTGGAGGACAGGTAGCAGATCTCTGATTATCTTCAGATAAAGGTATATTGAGAACAAGTGGCTAGGGTGAATCAGGATTCATTTGTGAAGAGACTGGATTCCTGAGTCAAAATCACTGTCCTCTACACCATACATGAATGGGCTGTTTTGTGTGAAATAAGCTGGACACAAACAGGTGAGATCTTAGAGCCTTATGATTACCGTTTTAGGACTGTAAATGGCCTCCTGTTCTTTTATGTATATAAATATATAACATAGCTTAATTACATAAGCCTGATCTAGTGGATGATATCTAGAAAGTGAGGCTAATTAACTACATGGGTTGGACATATATAACTACATGAAGCTAAATTTGGACACTGGGGGAGCAGTTTCTACATACCTTTTCCCTTCCAGAAGCAACTGCTACAGGAGTAGGACCAATTGTTACAAGAGCCCATAATCTGTTTCATTTCCAGTAGAAAGCCATGTTTTGAGAATTATATAAGTGTTAAAGGGGGCCACTGCTGTCTATAAGCCTCTTTTTTGTTCCATCTTGCAAACTCTATTTTAGACGTTCTTGCAGCAATGATCCTTACTCACGATCATGTATGAGTACTATGAATGTCACAAAGTATATTTTTTTTTAATATGAAACCAATGTCTCTAGACCAAATTTCATTAATATTTATGCATTAGTCCTGGAGATAATCAACCAGATGTGAAAATTCTTTTAACTTTGAACACTAGTGGAATAGCTTGCAGTAAAATATATACAACAGTTTTATTAATTAAAGGAAAACAAAAAAGAGGGAGTGGATTGATTATGGAATTTCCACAATTACTCCTGACTTTCATTAAAATAAGTAAAATTGTGCTTTTCAGGCATTATTGCAAAAATTAATGAAATCGAAGAAGCTTTAAAGTATCTTTGTTTTTTATCACCATACTAGAATTATAATGGTACAGAGAAAAACAAAGGAAGCATTTTCAGGAAGAATCTGCATTTCAGTTGTAAAAAGGCATTCTTTAGTCAAGTTTTTGAAATAATTAAAGTCTCGAGAACATTTTTTTATTAGGATATGCATAAAATGAAATACACTCATTATATTTTGCATGAAAAGGAATACTGAGAATCTATGTATGTATGCTTCATCGTGATGTCATATTGCATTTAATCAAACTGTCATTCTAGAAAAAAGTAAGCGGTGATGCTACTATTTGCTGTGCTGCACCAAGTGGTAACGAAAATCCTTGTGGCGGAGCTGCCGGCATTTGCCAACACTTTTATGACAGTGCTCCTAGTGGATGCTACGGAACGATGACTTACCTCATCCGGTCTGTTGCCGCTACTATGGATTGCTTGCCCAAGCAAGAATTAGATTGCACAATAAGTTAAGATTTCATCCTTCCTCTAACTTTTTAAATCACTCCACAGATGCTCAACATAAGTTGTTTTCGAAAACTTATGTATACATATATTCATTGTTAACTTATTTTGCTTGGTAAAAAGTTAAAACTCTCTGCTTTTATATTTATCCAAGATAAAAAAGGTAAGAAAATTCAGATTGTCCGCTTTTACATTTATCCAAGCTAAAAGGTAACGAAAGCAAATAAATAATGAAAGTCATTGGTATAAAAAATGGTATGGATTTGTTCTAATGTCAATTAATTGCAATAATATTAGACTTGTGCCATAATTTATGTGAACTTCTGCTCCTAGCCCCAAGATTCACAGTATGACGATCCGTGTGCCAGTTTTGTTGTATTTTATTTTCATTGATCTAAATAATGTAAAACAATAGTGAAGTTATTCAAACATTGTTTAAAATATTTTGTTATGTTCCTTATGCTTGGTTTATTAAATCATTTGTTATGAATCTGAATTTACTTGTTTGGTTCTGCTGTAAAAATTGACATTTGAAGCATGTCTTCCCGAGAATAAAATAATTTACTAATTCAGAAGTCAAACAACAAAAATCAGCGTGTTTGACTTCTGTTTAAACAATGTTGTTTGCGTGTTCTGACAATGTTGTTTGACTTCTGAATTAGTATTTATTCGGCGTGTTATTGTGTCTTAATTAATAAAATAATTTATTCAATTAATTTTTAAGAATATTATTCTCACTGGATTGTTTTATATGAAAAGAAAATTTAATAACTGGAATATCAAATGAATTTTTTAATTAAATGAAAAATTGATATTAGAAAAAATTAGATTTTAAACACTTAAAAACTAGGAAAATTATTTGTGGAGAATTTTTACTGTTCCTAAATTATGTACTACATGTTTTAATATTCTGTATATGATAACATCGTTATTCAATTAACAAAATACTAAATCCAGCATAGAAATATATAAGCACATTTTAAAAACAGTTACTATATATCCATGTCTATGTAACTGTTTAAACTATCAGTATTATTTTTCACATCTTGAACAAATTACTAATGTTCTGTTTATTCATTGCAAAGTAAATATTGTTTGTGAATATGACATCAGCAAGTGTATTTGACTATCCACAGTAATAAAGTATCATCCCATTGCAAATGAATTTGCTCTATTCACTTTAAAAAGCTTTATTATCAATTTGAAAACATTTATTATCAGTTTGGCATATTTCAGATGGATTACATACAATGATTTCATAACAATTTTTCCAATTTCAAATTATTATTATTATTATTTTTTTTTTTACTTTACCACATGTCTCTGTAACTATACACTTCGCATTATGTAATGAATTTGAGACATTTGTTTTTTGGTACTAGCCAGAGTAATTCTACTACACATAGCATTCTTTTAAATTTCCCATGTTTAATATGCAGCCATACAGTTACATATACATTGTTTATATTTTTCTTTTCCATCCTTTATACAGTTTTCACATTTATGCATCACAACTACTTTTCATTTTCCATTACATCTGTTAAATTTTATATTTTAACCATATTTAATTTCACACTAAAAATTTTCCTTATATTTCCACTAGTTTAATTGGGAATTGTCTGCTTATAATTTTCATATATGTGGATTCATTACATTTTTAAAAAAAGATTTAAAAACTTTTTTCAAGGAAATTTTTACCATCATGCAGTTAGATTATGTCTACTAAAATTCAATTCCTCTGGTATATGGACCAGCCAACTCTACCTAAGCTGTGCAATTAGTGCTCTATTGCACTTAAATTAATACTTTACCATCTATAATCATCATTAAATTATCTAATTTGTAGCCATGATGAACATGGCCAAAATTTTATTAATTTTGTTATTTTCCTAATGCTCCGCTGCAGCATCAATTCATAAAAGTTTTTCATAGAAACAACTTGTTTATGTAAACTTTAGTTGTTTTGTTATCTAACTGTATTATGTAGCTTCTTAACAATTTCATATGGTCGTATGTATTTCGGTTGTAACACTCTCTTGTCATTAAAATTTTGCGTAAAGACTTTATCCTGTAATTTGAAGTTCGGAATTTTTCTTTCTTTCAAATACTTTTTTGTATAATTAAAGTATTCACCCTCATTTAATTTTACTTGTTCCTTACTGTTATTTAATTGGTCTTTTACTTGTCAATTTATTATTGATGGAAATCTTCTGCTAGTTTAAGAGGCTCATTGCTATCTATGGGAATATTAATGTTCTACCAACAAAAAGCTCTGCTGGCAAAAAATGAGTGGTGCAATGTTTTGCATTATTTTAATAGAATTTAAACGTTAATAAACTGTCACTCAAATACTCTTTTTTCTGGGGAAGATTGCTGCACTAGATTCCTTCATCACTCTGTGTACTCTTTCCAGTCAACCTATTTCCTTGTGAGTGATAAATAGAACTTTTTCTGTGTTCTATATTTAGTGATTTTAAAAACTGATTTAATTCTGTAGAGCGAAAATAGGAAGCCAAAGCTCATAAAATAATCGTTTAGGTATTTTAGAATGGACTGGGAAGTGCAGTTGTTTAATGAAATTGTTTTAAGTACCTAAAGTAATGATCAATGATAATTAGTGCATAGAACTTGATGATGAGTGGATTGTGGCAGTTTCCCCATTATGTCAATAGCTATCATCACTCCCGGTATGAGGTCTTTCTTAAGAATCAAAACTGGCATGGAGTTTTCTGCTTTTGATTTACTTTTACTTTCTAAGCGGTTTGAACAATTTTATACAAAACTTTTAGTATTGCTATACATACCTTTCCAGTAGTACAGTCAAAAGTCATTAATCTGGACTCCTCGGGACTTCGGCGATTCCGGATTATCGATTTTTCCGGATTATAGATTATCAGTTTAAATCTTATAAGATGGCATGCAGAAATTATAAAATTAAAAATATGAAACTGTAATTTATGAAATAAAGAACAATTATGATCTAAAGGTATCAACATTTACAAAAAAAAAAAAAAAAAAAGCTTAATATTTATTTGTTTACTTTATTAAACATTTCTTTCAATGTAAGTTGTTTAGTTGCTTTTGTTTTTTATGTGATAATACTTTCTCTTTAATTTTATAAACAGACATAATTCTTGTTCAGTCAAAGTTCCGCGTTCAAGTCCTGTTTGCTGTGTCGAATACCGACTAATTTGTCAATCGAATTTTTTCGTTTTCAATAACCTCTGGTCATTCTTCGCTATCGGAAGCGAATTATAAGATGAGGATTTGATTTAAATCATATCAAAGACGGAGTACATCGAGATGAATACTACATTTATAGGAATTAAAGCCAAATAAAATAAAAACATCTGCCTTGAATATAAGGATAGTGCTGACAGATCAACTTCCAATTCATTGCGCGGCGCGGCGTGAAATTGTAAACAGATTTCAGAATGTTTGATAAACAAAGGATATGCCTTATCCATTTGCAGCAATTCCCACTTTTTGTTTATGGACTTCGAAACTATTTTCGTTTTGTATCCTTTACATATTAGTAATATACTCAAAATTCTATTTGACATAATCGAAAGTCAAGCTTACTTTTAAAAATTGCTCTAACATCTGCAAAATAAAAGCAGATCCAATTCGAAGATTAAAGACAACACCGCTGCAACATTAAACTGAATTAGAATTTTAGCTTAGCTTATACCATCCGTTATACATTAAACGCGCATTCATAAACGTATTTTGCGCATACGCAGAAAGTTTGTAGCTTTGAGGTCCGAATTAACGACTTTTGACTGTATTTTGCTTTCACAAGCTCGAATTGCTTTCAGAAACTCTTTTCAACACTGACGTCAGGCACATGAACAGCTCGTAAGGTAAAGGCACCACTAGTTGACCAGCTAAGGGAAATTTCTCATTCATTTGTCAACAGTATTAGCTGTGGAGACAATTAATTTTTTCGTAATTAACAGAATT